TGTCCACGATGTGTTGTTCTGTTGCAGAATGTCCCTAACCTGGGCTGCTGTCATTGCTCTTGAAGCGTCGCGCTCTGTCCCGCTCATGCTGTGAAAGTGTGGAATGGCCATTTCTCCGAGACGAGTCGGTAGCCTGAGCACCGACAAATCCTCCGTGGTGAATGCATCTCGACCAGTTGCAGCCGGCAAGAACTCAGTTTCGATTACTATACTACCGATACGGCGATAGAACCGGCTTGTCCAACGCTGATACTGCGTCCTCCGGAATGAGAACCGTCTACGAAAGGGGTAGTACTAGTAAACCCAACGACCCCACAGGCCATGAGTCAAAGCTGCATATGGCGCGTGTAGCTCTGTGCTGGCAAACTTTGCTAATAAAAAAATATATAATGACTATGTGCGTAGCTCCTTGCACCAATCATCAACCCTCTCCCTCACTTGGCTGGCAACATCATCAGGCTCCCCGATGTAAGATCAGAACGCTGCCGGTGACAATGCGGCGCAGCTAGCTAGCTACACAAAACTCGAGATCACGAAAATAATTTCTATTGATTTCACCGAAAAGGTCCAGTCAAAGAAGTCTCTACTCATTTCGTGTGTCTTCCCAGGCCACTGTACAGGTAGTAGGTACGGTAGACTCTGTAGTTGCGCGCTATCGGATGGAATTCTGTAATCACTGTATGCTCCTCCGGCCATAGTCAATGATAGGTATCCCTGATTATGCTTTCCAGGAGGACCAAGATAATGAGGCGAAAAATAATTGGAGGGAAACAAAAGTTCCGTGATCCAAGCAGCTTGCACACGTAGCGCACGTAGCACCATTAGTAGGCATTACTAGTAGCGTCATGTAGCCTGGATCAAGCCCGTGCTGAGAGCGTGCTGAAAGGGTTAGCTTTTAGCGGTCTGAGAACGGAGTAGGCGGCGCTAGCGCGGGGACTCGTGTTTACACCTGGATTGGAGTGTAACGTTTATACGTACGTGGTCGTTGTGAAATGGAAGTTTTCCCCGCCGGTGCCCATCGGAACCGAGCTTCCGCAGCACTGGAGAAAACCGTGCAGTTCTTACAAAAGATCGGGCCTGCAGGCTTACCATTGCTGAACTTGTTGAGCCTCAAGGTGACTTCTGGTACTGCATGTACGTCCGACCCTTGCAGTTCTGTTCGCGATGCTCAAGTCGCCTCTCTAGCAGAAAGAAACGTGACTCTACCAGCCCATGCCCAGTTCTACGTGGATGACATTCAGGATCCACACTGGGTTGCCTGTGTTGTCCAGGAGAAGGACGGTCTGGTTCACGTGACGTTGGGACTCGCACCCCTCACGTTTTCAAGGCGACTAACAGATTGTTTAGACACTCTGGAAGAAGCTGGAGTCTTGAATTGGAGCAGTGAGAAACTCCACTTCCCCTGTGTACCGAGTGAGTTCGGTGACGACATAGTGAAGCGAGGTGAATTGAGAGGCAGTCAGACTTTCAAAAATCAGCTTACGGAATTCGCCGCTGTCTACGCCAAGCGAGAGTTGGATCACAGAAGCACAAGGACTCGGCAGGATGCCCGTAATCATGATAAATGTGTATTGCCAGATGGATACGTTTTGGACAGGCTGAACAGCGCTGATGTGCCAATTATCCATAAGCACTGGAAATACGGCGGCCTTGTGGGAGCCATTGGTTACATTACAAGCATGATCAACGAATGGCCAAAGCTTACATGCGGTATCTACAGATGCACGGGAGAAGGTGATGACGATAGAGACAGCGTGACGGTGTATGTGCAGCAAAGTGAGCCATTCCTACAGGCTGGCAGCAGGCGTGAGCTGGTTGCCTGGGGCATGGTGAAAACGTACGGAGCTATTGGCCTTCTGCACACCCTGGAGAACCATCGAAGACGTGGATTCGCCGGGATGATAGTTGACTACCTGGAGACCGCCATGCGACAGAACTCCTTACACTTGTTTGCTTACGTAGACATTGGCAACGACACATCGGCCAAGGTCTTCGACAAAGCTGGCTTTCAAGGAGTTCAGGATTTCAAGGTGCTTTGGCTAACGTTCTTGCCTCATTGAGTGTTTGGCCTGATGTGAACGTATCAACCAATGCACACTGAATTGGTTCGATTTTGCCCAAGAATCGATTTTGAACTTCTTCATGAATTACCCCTGGTTATTCTCTCATCACCCCCCCCCCGTGTGAATAGGATGAATCGATTCCAGGGCGCACAATGTCAAATCGAACGAGGAGGTTCCATTCATGAATCGATTCACGGGAGTAATCGAACGCACCCACTGTGCATGTACTTGCAGTATTGGTTAGGTCAAGCGCTAAAAAAATGCCCATCACAACACCCTTGATGATCTGGGCTAACCAGAGTTCTGGATCAACAGGCTACTCACTATACAGTACGAGAACAACATGTCAGACCGTATCAAACAGAAGGCAACTATCTCATACCTGCCAAGTATCCAGATTTTTCGGGATTATCCCGCAATTTTGGAAGAACTCCCGCGATCCCGAAATTCCTGTCGATTATCCCGAAATTCACTGTTCAAGAAACAAGCTTGATATTGTACTTGGAGCACTTCAAATGACTTGTCGCAGGCCAGTAGTTGTCCGTATTGATTCCGGACCGCCATAGCCTGCAGTACCAGTGGATCTACTAGTGCTCCTTCCATGAGCAGTCTCTGAAAAACCTCCGTTTTTGAGTCTTGAACATGCGTAAGTGTAATCCGATGATCACCATCAATCATTATTCTATTATCGAAATGTTGGTGCCATCAAAAGTTGAAAAAGGTTTTTGGTGAAAAATATGACATATCCCGAAAAGCCAAGGCAAATCCCGGGATTTTGCCATAACGGCGATCTAGAAAAAGCACTCTCAGTACTTGGCAGGTATGCTATCTGTGCTAAAATCAAAGCGGAAAGTGCTGAATAATGAAACCGATGCAATGTGTGCTAATGGCAATGATGCTGCAGCATAATTCAAAATACTTTTGACTAGTGGTGTGCCCGGGCACATGTAGCCGGGTAGCCGTGCTACCCTTGAAGACCCCGGTACAGAATAATAGTACCAGAAAACCCGAAGTCGCAAATGACATGTACATGTACAGTGCATGTGTGCAAATTCATGTAATACTCCGTATGTGTACCCAGTGTGTAAGGGAAAGGGTGCATTCTGGCTTTACCATGGAAACATTACCCGATCGGGTACCCGTGGAAAACTACCCGAATCCGATACCCGAAGAAAATGCTACCTGGCTCGGCCCTACTTTTGACTAGTGTGCTCATGTGGGCAGCGGAACCCAGAATCGGCTTCAGATACAACACCAGGTGCACTTCTGAGCGTGTGCATATGTGTGTGTGTGTGTGTGTGTGTGTGTGTGTGTGTGTGTGTGCGTATGTATTTTTTTGCGGTCTGCCCATGATCGGGTCTTGGTCTCCTGTCTTATTATCTCAATTCTTGCGCATATGTGATACGTGTGCGTGTGTGGTGGTGCATGTGCGCTCATGTGCGTGTGTGTACGGACGTACGTTCCTGTTTGCATGTGTGTGCGTATATGCGTGCGCGCATTCCTGTGTGTGTGTGTGTGTGTGTGTGTGTGCGTGTGTGTATACGCATTCGGATGCCTGGGCATTTGTTGTCAATGTGTTGTATGCCTGCTTCTCAACTTTCCTTCCCATTCTACACATTGCGTGACTGTGCTGCCACCTCTATTTCTCATTTGCTCTGCATGCAATGCTCCTGCTCATTTTTTCTCACTTTTGTATTTTTCGGTTTGGCGCGCATGAGCAGTGATGAGACCGAGACCCTTGGTCGGTTGAGCTGCTTTTGCCCCGCCTCCGCTGCTTCGGCTGCCATCGCTATGTGTATTCCCGTGCGTTTTGCCGGAGTTTGCGCCATGCTGGTTTGTGGTTGTCTTGGAAACAATGTGCTTGTGTGTTCATATGCATGTGTGTGTGTGTGTGTGTGTGCATGCGTGATCGCTGTGTACGTGTGATCGCTGCGGCCGTTGGTTCTTGAGCCATGGTGGCCTTGCCCGTCACAAGTGTGTGGCTCAGTCCCCAGCCGCAGTGGAGCCATGTTGTGGCGCGCACTGTGCGTTCTGGGGCCGCTGCTTCCGTTCGGTCCAGGGCAGGATCTCTCTCTCTCTCTCTCTCTCTCTCTCTGTTTTTGGTGGACAAAAACATCTCTGGCGTTAATTGCTTTCTTGCTTCGACTTCTGCCGCGCCTTTGTTCTCGTACTCCCCTTCATGTACAAGTGTTGTGCAAACCCTCCTTTAATATAGTCTGTCTCATTTTGCCCTGAGATGTTTTGATGCATAGTGATTATGACGCTCATCATTCGCTCCCTTGTCACTGGACAGTTCTGTCCGTTTGGATTTAGCGAATTCAAATAAAGAAAACGACAACAACAACAACAACAACAACAACAACAACAACAACAGGAATAGACACCGCTGCTCAGGTTCTCCCCCGGCCATACGTCAGTCTCGTGGTAACAGTCGTAGGTGATGAATGCTGGGGACCTCTCGTTGTGTTCCGGACGCCGTGGGACGGCGTTCCCCTTTTCTCTCTCCGTTGTAACTCCGGGGCCCACGTGACCCTTGTGGCAGTGGCTCGACAGGACAGGTGTGTGTGTGCGTGTACCCATATGTGTGTGTGCTTGTGTGTGTGCGTGTACACGTATGTGCATGTGTGCGTGGTGTGTACACATGTGCATATGTGAGTACGCGCATCATGCATGTGTGTGTGTGTGTGTGTGTGAGTGTGTGTATGTGCCTGTGAGTATGTATGCGTGAGTGTGTGTGTGTGTGTGTGTGTGTGTGTGTGTGTGAGTGTGTGTATGTGTGTATGTGTGCGCGTGTGCATGCATGCATGCGTCTATGTGTGCCACAATTGCAAGAAATTGCATTGCTTCACGCCTAGTGCTGTACGCCTGGACGATTCTGTATTCCACCGGCCACTGCAGTAGACAGTACATCTCTCATAATACTAGATGGGCGCTTAGTTAGTTCGGACACTTCCTGCACTTTCACCTCTAGTCTCGCTTATGATGATTGCGGAGGTTTGAAACTAGAGTGTGTGTATTGTATGAATAGAAGTGGAATTTGAGATCAGGTTGTTAACCCTTTCCAAAAATTACATCCCTTGATTGAACTCCTAAGAGTAATTTGTCTGAAAGTTGATATCAAATTATTATCAAGCACATAGAGCAGTGAAATAAAATAAATTCACAGCCCGTGCGAGACTCACTCAGACTGAGTTTTCCGCATGCACAGGACCGCCACCACCCTATCCGCAAGGAGCAGATCAGTGATTGGTTTCTAATACGGAGGTGAAACGGGACAGGTTGATTTAACTTGGAAAGAATAATGATAAAACTGTCGTACTGTAAATCTGATTTGTAAAGCACCTCTCGAGGCACCAATGATTGCTATGATACTGAAAAGCCAAGGAGCCAGAAATCCTGATCTTTGCAGGTCCCGGGCCAGTTGCTCTACACGCAATACATGCACTGAATGCGCGCGTGTACCTTTTTCTGAACGTTGTCTCCCGATTTTTGGCCATTTTGATGAGCGGGACCAGCCAAGCCTGGTGGCTGGGTCGCTTGCGAATGTTCACACGCCCATTGGGACATATTAGGTGTACACGCAAGTCAAGGCACCAATGGACAACTTTCACCATTGTTATGTTGCCGTCATAACGCCTTTGTGCTGCCTGTATGCTGTGATTGACAGGCGAATACTTGAAGGTAGACTGTGACGCTGCTCTCAGGAAGAAAACTGTCCACTGACGAGCAGGCAGGATTGCCCTTCAACAAGAAAATATGGCCAGGGATCCAGAGTCAGCATCGTTACACACTGGAATCAAATTCTGAGTTTGTGTCCACATGCGTATCCGTACATGACGTTGCACTGCTAGAGTTGCAGCCACTCCCAACTGACCTCCGTCCAGGGTCAGCTGCTGAATCAGCATTTTCTTCCCCATCATCATTTGGAACAGCCTCATCATCATCAGCAGCAGCAGCAGCAGCATCTTCTTCCTCCTCATCATCATCAGGAGCAGGGACAGGTACAGAAGCACCAGGTGGTAGATGGCATCCATCGCCAGGGCGTGATAGTGGCAATTGCTCATGGGGCAAGCGAGTACTTTGAGCATCTTGAATGCTGATGTCTGCGCTGGAAATACAATACTGTGCTTGGTTACTTGATATGAACCCAGCAGTAGCATCGTATATCGACTCTGCCAGATCATCTGCATGTTCACTATGCTGAGGAGGCCATGTATCACCTTCGTACCCAATCGTCAGACTCAGCCCTAGATCACGGATATCTTGACATGTGAGTACTTCTTGGCAGGAATCTTTCGGGTGAATGATTACTGTGATACAAGGACGCTCGGGATTCCTTCTATAGCAGCGCATCAGTGCAGGAGGTTGGCTCCATGCTTCTCTGCAGCCAGGACTGACTGGCACTAAGAATATGTCCAGCGGTCTCAGGCGCATCGAGGTCCTTCCCTGCACTTCTTCTGACAATCCCTCCAGGCGTTTTGCCAAGGTGGCATCCGCAAACTCCACTGTGAGTCTGCCATGGTACTCCTGCCCGTCAACTGACCATTTATTTCCATGAAATGTTACAAGAAAGTTGCCAATGACCGCTGTGGGCTTGATCATCACTTCCGTCAATAGATAGTCAGATTGGATGTGCATTTGGTAGGTAGCTGTGGACCAAGCAAAGCAAGAATGCAAACAGTTTCAACACGAATTTACAATACTGAGTCCAATACTGAGTCTAAAGATGTGTGCTGAAAACCAGGTTGACTGCAGTCACCTCACACTACAGTCCATCCATAAAAAGATGATAGTCTTGCTTTTGGCCATAAATGAGTCAAATGTTGAAAATTTTGTATGGAATGGTCTTCCAAACTTGTTTCTGAAGTCCATTTCGAGAAAATGCAAGCGGTAACAAGAATAGGATTTCGGCCAGGTTTTGGCCCGAAACCTGGTTGACGGATCTGTTCTATACTCCCCCGCCGTTTAGGAGCTTCATCTGACGCCTGCTGAAGGAGTGGTGGCGTCCCAGGGAAGCGGAACGGTGTTTCTTGACCTGCCCTGTATGCAAACCCGTGCAATTTTGTTTTGCCCCAAAAGCACTGGATTGGGAAAAGCCACATAAATCCAGGTAGCTCGACTCCACACGCAAGGGTATATGCAATATTATATTATGTAGTGTGGTTCGAATCCCAGTTCAGGTATCGTTTTGTACCCTTTTTAAAGTTCCAAAATTCGCTGCACTGAAACGTGTACAACCCCCCCCCCCCAAAAAATCCCCCGGTACAGGAGCTCACCAGAGCCAGAGATCATCTTTTCAATGAATGGACTGCAGTAACCTATGAATACAGAGATTTCAGAATCAAGTACTGTACATTTACTAGCTGGACTACTGGCATCCTCTGCCTGCTCTGCCTGGTAGAGGGTAGGAAAACAGAGAGAAATACTGGGAGGGTAGGAGAGGTCGGAAGGAAGGCCCAAGCATGGTGCAGCAAGAAGATGGGAGGGAGGAATAGAAAAAGGGAACGAGGCCGTTTCAACACCCTCAGCTGTTGAAGGAAAGAGGAAGGCAGAGAGAAAGAAGTAGCTTTAGGATGCTTGTTTGATCACATGCTTACGTTTATCTGATGGCTGGAGCTCAAGTAGTTTTGTTGTAAAACGGTTGATCACATCTGCACCAGGTGCGCGTTTGTTTTTGTAGTCCAGCCAGAAGATGTCCGGGTGTTTGTCATCGTCCAAGAAGAGCTCCTGGCACTTGGGTCCCATTTCATCTTGATTATGATCCAGTATGACCAGCCCATCGCTGGGGGCGTCTAGCGCTTGCCGACAAGCAAGTAAGGATTTATACAGGTGCTGACGGTCTATTTTGTCACTCTGCGGTAGCAGCTGTATATAGGGCTTAACCAGGTCTTCCGATGCAAAGACGATGAGGATTTCCGAGACATTCCATCGCCACACACACTCGTGGCTCATTCGCTTGACGATGGCTTTGTTCGCCGCCGACTTGAAGGCCTTCACGTTCTTCATGGAGGGATGGTAGATGTACGTCAGATACACAGTTCTGCCCATAGAAGTTACGATCTGATCTTTGCAGGAGGCAATAGCGAGGGGTTGCTTGAGTGCTGCACAAGGACAAGATCAACAAGCACATGTGGTCAAGGTATGAGTGTGTCCACACAAAGACCGAATCTAGTCTGCTCCACTCTCACCGTTTCAGAGACGGTAAACTTCTGTTCCACCGACATAATTGTTTAGTTAAGTTATTATTTATACAAAAGAGAAAGACCAAGGAACTGCAAGTTACGCTATACTGTCCACTAACACCACCAGTTACTAAACAATCAGCTCATGCGATAACATTGCACGACACTCACCGGCGGTACTGACGGTTTACAACTAACTGGCTAACAGCTCTAGCACATCTTGGATGCGCACTCCAACAGCTTTCCAACTTGGAAGGTTCTAAGTTATAGAAATAACATACCGTATTTTCCGGAGTATAGTGCGCACCTTTGTATAACGCGCACCCCCAATTTTCAAGTGCGCACCCCCAATTTTCATTGGGGGTGCGCACTTCAATCTTCATTGAAGTACATACATTTCATATTCGGAGCATAGTGCGTGCACCTGCGATTTAGGGCCTAAAATAGCACATCTAAAGTGCGCACTATACTCCGGAAAATACGGTAAGGAGGGGAAGGTGAGCGCAATCAAGATAAGCACATTGACATCGTCATCGACATGCATGAACATCCGCCAACGTCCTTCACAGCTGAGACTTTCAGATCGTTTTTGTCTTGGTTGCGCTCACCTTCCCCTCCTTATGTTATTTCTATAACTTAGAACCTTCCAAGTTGGAAGGCTGTTGGAGTGCGCATTCAAGTATGCTAGAGCTGTGAGCCAGTTAGTTGTATAACGTCAGTACCGTCGGTCAGTGTCGTGCAATGTTATCGCATGAGCTGATTGTTTAGTAACTGGTGGTGTTAGTGGACAGTATAGCGTAACTTGTAGTTCCTTGGTCTTTCTCTTTTGCATATGTTATTATTATCATTATTATGTGCATTTTCGCGTTGAAGTCGACCGATAGGTCCACTTCTTTGCTTGTGCTGCACAACGAAGGCAGGAGGATGACAAATGATATGCTGTGGGTAAAAAGGTCAAACGATCACTGTATCAGAACCAAAACAGCACAAATCAGAAGAAAAGGGGCAAAAGAGCTGCAGAAGTAGAAAGTCAGTGGTGCCTGAACAATGAAGTAGAGAGCATTGAGTGATGGTGTGGTGGATCATTACAAAACTAAATAATTATTCCCGTAGCTATGCAAAAGACGATATACTTCAGTAACGTCTGGCGCTAGCCAGGGTCCACACAGCTTTAATTCCGTGTTTGTGTGTTTGTGCCGTCGGCATGCCTGGCGCTATCCCGTACCCGTACCGTACCATCAAAGACAGCTGGCCACAATATTCAAATAGGGCTTTCAAATGCAAGATCATAACGTGAAGTAACTTGGAAGAATGAGTATGTATGTGAAGTGTATCAGGGGAATGCATGCAGGGCGATAGTGCGGGTTCGAATCCTAGGTTATGTCTTGAAAAGAAATAGGAGAAATGAAAAATTTATAACATCCCTATGCTTTTTTTGCCTAGGTCATCAAGGTGGCAGACGGTGTCCTAATACCCTCGAATGCAAAGAGAAAGTTTATTTCTTTCGCTCAGGGCCCTACGCTACGCTTTTTGCCTAGCTCATCATGCATGTTATTCGAACAGATGGAAACGTTTTGCAATACAATGATGTGGCCGATCAGTTCGTTGTGGTATGGTTGGGCATTGTAGCCGTCATGGTCGACGTAAACCACTACCGTATTTCCCCGTAAGTTAGTACGTACGAACTTTCGAACTTAGCAGCCACATGAGTACCAACTTTCGGGGGTGGTACTATCTTTCGGGTGGTACTTTTTTATCGGGGGTAAATGACATGCAGTGGGAAGCCTGCGCAACTCTAGTGTCCGTGCATATGATGTATGTACTGTACGGTGTCTGTACATGTAGGACGGGTACGAACTTACTATCTTTCGGGGGGGGGGGGGGGGGGACTGTCTTTCGGGGTGATAACCTCGGCAGTGGAAAGTGTATTTTTTATAGGGGGGTAGTAAGTCATTGGGGAGAACTAACTTACGGGGAAATACGGTATTTACATACACAAGCTCGGGGAGCAAAAGTCTCTCTGTCCCATAAGCTGCCACATACCAATTAAATACAAAACCATAAAAAGCATAGCGTAGGGCCCTGAGCTTGCAAGCTCTCTCGTTGTGTGTGCTATAGTTTTATAAAGTAAATGTTGCTACTGCTCTAAAGGTCCATACCTCTCCGCACTATAGGAATACCCTACCTACTGCTCTGATGGTACATACCTCTAAACAGCCAGAAGCCGATTACTGTGATAGCCAGAGCACCGACAAGGAGGCACACCGTGAGAACCAAAGGCTGCCGCCCCGTGTTGTTCTGCTGTTGCTGGGCACAGTGCAGTAGCTCTGTGCAGAAAAGAAAGACGTGGGACGCCAACACATGCATCAAACTTTGCACGAAGAACAACATGAACTTATTTTTCATCAGCCCCTTCAATTTTGCTGGCATGCATTATAATTTCCACGCAAAATCGCGAGCCTGGCGACTATATGCAGTGCTTTTCAAGCACAAAAGAAGAGGAAAGATAACTTTTATTAACCTACAGTCACGAACACACAAAATTCTCAACTACCATTATACTTCCCCGGTTATTGGGCACTGTCAATTTGGATTCGCATTTTATTTCCAGGTCTCTGCAACGTCCTTCCAATTAACCACTTGCCTAACAAGCCATACTTGATTCTATGTCGCAACCCAGTTTAGTTTTTTTTTTGTCTCCAAAAACCCCGTTTCCCTTGAAGTCTAGTGCAAATAAGCGTGACTTCTAATTGGAGAGCCTGCTACAGCACATGTACATCTGAGGTGTTGCATGATTGTGGGAGCATGACACAGTACAGGTATCAACAAACAAGCGCACGTAACGTTAGACATGTACAACGGTAAGTTTGGTGACTAATCTTAAGAGATTTCCAAACCCGCCTAAATTTGCGAGGACGAGTGTTTGCACCCAGAGTCTGAAATTGAAAACTATATAATGCCCGCTGACTTCAGGGATGCAAACAGTCACTCGGGGACAAGGCTTGCCAAACACACTTCTTTCTCTGTTTTAGTATTTAGACCGTCAACAATTCCCGTTTTACAAAAGTACAACGCAGAAACACCATGAATACCTGTTTGATTCGTGAAGCCTGGACACATGGTCAGTTTTGTAGGGTGTTGTGTTAACACACGAACATTGCTGAGTCCAATTTGAAGGCCAGTCCGGATATCCTTAACAAGTGCAGCTTAAGTCTTTGCGGGTGTGCCTGGCACGCTACCTATGCTATATCAGCAATGAATCAGCAATGATAATCATGAAGCAATTACCTGTGAGGTTTGTGTTTGCTTGCGGACACAGGGTCAGGTTGGTATGGTGCTGTGTACTGTTAACACATGAACATTGCTGAGTCAAATCGGAAGGCCAGCTCGGAGATCCTAGGCAGGTGTAGTTTAAGACGCGCCGTGTTTGCGGCTGTGTTTGGCATGGTGCACATGCAGCGTCGGACCAAACCGCTTTCTCGTCTGCATCAGAACGCGCCATAGAGTCACACGGCAACAGGAAATATATTTGTCACAAGAAATGTAGCCACTGAATCAGTAACAGGAGTGTCCCTGGTGCTGTATTTGTACTGTAATTCTGCATGTGAATACCCAGTGGCTGTTGACTGTAGATAACTAGTCCACTTCCATCAAAAACTGTACATATTGACAGGTACAGTAAAACCTGTGACTAACGACCACCCCTAGCCCTTGGTGCCAGCAAAAGCGGTCTTTAGTAGCAGGTGGTCTTTAGTTAGAGGTTTGCACCGCGCGACCATATATGGATCCCATTATATGATATGTACATGTATATCAAAATGCGGCTAATACAATTCCCCAAGACTTGCGCAATGCCATTCTTATTTCAGGTCAAAGAACACCTGGAGAGAAAGACGGAGAGATGGACAGAGCCAGAGAGAGAGAGAAGATTAATATTTTTTTGCGGACATCAAATTCAGCTCCTACTTCTGAAGCCAGGAGTCAAACGATCCATGTGGAAGTTTCGTTTTGCGCAGGGCTTCAAATTTGTTCATGCGATCAATCATATCGACTGTCCTTGCTGCGACTTTTCGATTGCTTGAACGCGATCCTTCAGCATGAGGACCTTGCCGTGCTGCTTTGTTTCTGGATTCCTTGATGCCATCGTCGATTCGTGTGTATTACTGGGGTGACAGAGCCGCTTAGTCTTCGTTTCTCCTCCGAGTAGTAACATCAATCAGAGAGCGCTTTCAATGCGCTCTCCAAGACGATTCCTATCATGTTTATTCTAGACAGCGCTTGAAATTCGGACAGGTGTAGTGCACTCCACACCGACTCCAAAGTCAAAATGACCTGCGTTCATTTCTTCAGCTGTAGTATCGAAATATTCCTTTCAGGAATCATCAAAATTTCAAGAAGGAGCTTCGAGCAACATTAGATTTCCTACAGCGCGGTCGCTAGTTACGGGTCAAAAATCATCTTCGGGACAAGAAAAGGCGGTCGCTGGTCGCGTTCAGCAGGTAGTCGCTAGTCACAGTGCATTTTGAATGTGAGACAGTCCGTGCCTGGCGAAGTAGTCGGTAGTACCAGGCTGGTCGCTAGTCACGGTGGTCTGTAGTACCAGGCTGGTCGCTAGTCACGGTGGTCTGTAGTACCAGGCTGGTCGCTAGTCACGGTGGTCTGTAGTACCAGGCTGGTCGCTAGTCACGGTGGTCTGTAGTACCAGGCTGGTCGCTAGTCACGGTGGTCTGTAGTACCAGGCTGGTCGCTAGTCACGGTGGTCTGTAGTACCAGGCTGGTCGCTAGTCACGGTGGTCTGTAGTACCAGGCTGGTCGCTAGTCACGGTGGTCTGTAGTACCAGGCTGGTCGCTAGTCACGGTGGTCTGTAGCACCAGGCTGGTCGCTAGTCACGGTGGTCTGTAGTACCAGGCTGGTCGCTAGTCACGGTGGTCTGTAGTACCAGGCTGGTCGCTAGTCACGGTGGTCTGTAGTACTAGGCGGGTCGCTAGTCACGGTGGTCTGTAGTACCAGGCTGGTCGCTAGTTACGGTGGTCTGTAGTACCAGGCTGGTCGCTAGTCACGGTGGTCTGTAGTACCAGGCTGGTCGCTAGTCACGGTGGTCTGTAGTACCAGGCTGGTCGCTAGTCACGGTGGTCTGTAGTACCAGGCTGGTCGCTAGTCACGGTGGTCTGTAGTACCAGGCTGGTCGCTAGTCACGGTGGTCTGTAGTACCAGGCTGTTCGCTAGTCACGGTGGTCTGTAGTACCAGGCTGGTCGCTAGTCACGGTGGTCTGTAGTACCAGGCTGGTCGCTAGTCACGGTGGTCTGTAGTACCAGGCTGGTCGCTAGTGACGGTGGTCTGTAGTACCAGGCTGGTCGCTAGTCACGGTGGTCTGTAGTACCAGGCTGGTCGCTAGTCACGGTGGTCTGTAGTACCAGGCTGGTCGCTAGTCACGGTGGTCTGTAGTACCAGGCTGGTCGCTAGTCACGGTGGTCTGTAGTACCAGGCTGGTCGCTAGTCACGGTGGTCTGTAGTACCAGGCTGGTCGCTAGTCACGGTGGTCTGTAGTACCAGGCTGGTCGCTAGTCACGGTGGTATGTAGTACCAGGCTGGTCGCTAGTCACGGTGGTCGGTAGTACCAGGCTGGTCGCTAGTCACGGTGGTCTTTAGTACCAGGCTGGTCGCTAGTCACGGTGGTCTGTAGTACCAGGCTGGTCGCTAGTCACGGTGGTCTGTAGTACCAGGCTGGTCTCTAGTCACGGTGGTCTGTAGTACCAGGCTGGTCTCTAGTCACGGTGGTCTGTAGTACCAGGCTGGTCGCTAGTCACGGTGGTCTGTAGTACCAGGCTGGTCGCTAGTCACGGTGGTCTGTAGTACCAGGCTGGTCGCTAGTCACGGTGGTCTGTAGTACCAGGCTGGTCGCTAGTCACGGTGGTCTGTAGTACCAGGCTGGTCGCTAGTCACGGTGGTCTGTAGTACCAGGCTGATCGCTAGTCACGGTGGTCTGTAGTACCAGGCTGGTCGCTAGTCACGGTGGTCTGTAGCAGGGCATAGATTAACGGCCGGACATCGGACATTTTCCGGCCATTTTCGGCCACTGACCGGACGTTTTCAATTTCACCGGACATAGTGTCCGGTCAAAAAAGGAAAAAAAGAGCAGCGACCTTTCGACCTTTTTATGCAGAGTTGGGCTTTATTCGGAGCTTCGTACCGATCGTGCCAACTGCGACTTGCATATCGTACAACTGACACGTCTACACCGTAGCCTCAGGCGTAGACTTCACCGTATTTACTTGATCCGCCTGTAGCAACGCGGTTGCTACAGTCAATTCACACTTTCGACCTTTGGTACATGGTGTCGACTTCGCACTTGAATCGATGGGTTGAACTGCAGTGCTGTTGTTCGCTCTTGAGAGGAAGATGTCATCTTTTATTTTTCACTCTTTCACTGACCAGGAATGCAGATAGTCTTTTAGAATGTCTTCTGGAAAGCGAAAGGGAGATTCAGAGGACTTGCCGCCGGGCGAAAAGTCCGTGGTGTGAAGGCCGCTACTTGCGATAAGTGGATCTCGGACAACGATGCCTTCCGCCTGGCTGATTTATGACCGGCAGAAGAACGATCGGCTGTTAGCAGAATGTTTGAAGTGTTCCGTGTGCATCAAGTTTGTAGACAGAGTCCGCAGTTGTAAAAACGTCAGCGAGGCTTTCATAACCGGATCCAAGAATCTGAGAACATCAGCGTTCAAGGATCATGCTGGAACGGAGATGCATAAACGAGCAATGAAACGTTTCCACAGGCAAGAGTGTCCCGCTCGAAACGCCCTCGAATTCGCTCCAATTGCGAAGGCACTGTGGAAGATGGACGATGGTGCTGCCGCTATTGCACGACTCAAATTCGAACTGACTTACCTTCTCTGCAAGGAGCATATCGCGTTCGCAAAATTCGAGTCGTAATGTGTGAGATACGTCCACATAATGAGTCATTGTGAATATACTTCAGTACTACTAAAAAAATAGAAGAAGAAACACCCTGAAAATGTGTTGTGGAAAATGTCCGGGCATGTCCGGACAGATTTCGAAACGGTAGGACATATGTCCGAGCTAAATGAAACCCTTAAGCTATGCCCTGGTCTTTTAGAATGTCTTCTGGAAAGCGAAAGGGAGATTCAGAGGACTTGCCGCCGGGCGAAAAGTCCGTGGTGTGAAGGCCGCTACTTGCGATAAGTGGATCTCGGACAACGATGCCTTCCGCCTGGCTGATTTATGACCGGCAGAAGAACGATCGGCTGTTAGCAGAATGTTTGAAGTGTTCCGTGTGCATCAAGTTTGTAGACAGAGTCCGCAGTTGTAAAAACGTCAGCGAGGCTTTCATAACCGGATCCAAGAATCTGAGAACATCAGCGTTCAGGGATCATGCTGGAACGGAGATGCATAAACGAGCAATGAAACGTTTCCACAGGCAAGAGTGTCCCGCTCGAAACGCCCTCGAATTCGCTCCAATTGCGAAGGCACTGTGGAAGATGGACGATGGTGCTGCCGCTATTGCACGACTCAAATTCAAACTGACTTACCTTCTCTGCAAGGAGCATATCGCGTTCGCAAAATTCGAGTCGTTATGTGTGAGATACGTCCACATAATGAGTCACTGTGAATATACTTCAGTACTACTAAAAAAAATAGAAGAAGAAACACCCTGAAAATGTGTTGTGGAAAATGTCCGGGCGTGTCCGGACAGATTTCGAAACGGAAGGACATATGTCCGAGCTAAATGAAATCCTTAAGCTATGCCCTGTGTAGTACCAGGCTGGTCGCTAGTCACGGTGGTCTGTAGTACCAGGCTGGTCGCTAGTCACGGTGGTCTGTAGTACCAGGCAGGTCGCTAGTCACGGTGGTCTGTAGTACCAGGCAGGTCGCTAGTCACGGTGGTCTGTAGTACCAGGCAGGTCGCTAGTCACGGTGGTCTGTAGTACCAGGCTGGTCGCTAGTCACGGTGGTCTGTAGTACCAGGCAGGTCGCTAGTCACGGTGGTCTGTAGTACCAGGCAGGTCGCTAGTCACGGTGGTCTGTAGTACCAGGCAGGTAGCTAGTCACGGTGGTCTGTAGTACCAGGCTGGGCGCTAGTCACGGTGGTCTGTAGTACCAGGCTGGTCGCTAGTCCACGGTGGTCTGTAGTACCAGGCTGGTCGCTAGTCACGGTGATCTGTAGTACCAGGCTGGTCGCTAGTCACGGTGGTCTGTAGTACCAGGCTGGTCGCTAGTCACGGTGGTCGGTAGTACCAGGCTGGTCGCTAGTCACGGTGGTCTGTAGTACCAGGCTGGTCGCTAGTCACGGTGGTCTGTAGTACCAGGCTGGTCGCTAGTCACGGTGGTCTGTAGTACCAGGCTGGTCGCTAGTCACGGTGGTCTGTAGTACCAGGCTGGTCGCTAGTCACGGTGGTCTGTAGTACCAGGCTGGTCGCTAGTCACGGTGGTCTGTAGCACCAGGCTGGTCGCTAGTCACGGTGGTCTGTAGTACCAGGCTGGTCGCTAGTCACGGTGGTCTGTAGTACCAGGCTGGTCGCTAGTCACGGTGGTCTGTAGTACCAGGCTGGTCGCTAGTCACGGTGGTCTGTAGTACCAGGCTGGTCGCTAGTCACGGTGGTCTGTAGTTACAGGTTGTACTGTACTATTATATTCCCTTGACATCTTCTCAGACTTTTCAAGGCACCGCGCTGCCTTATTTTAAAAGTTATCACGGACAGGCCACGTTTAGCAGGTGTTACAAGTTTACAACAAATAGCCCCTCAGGAGATATTTTCAACCACCACTCAATTCCAGGGTATATTCCAGTCTTGCTGTCGGTTCTGGGAGGATGCCAGGAACATAAAACCCAAGAATTGATGAATGGAAGGTAGAAGAAACCGCAACTGTGACTGTAAACTGCCGAATTTTGTGGGTGATAGCCGCTAAAAAATCGCCCCTGCGGCTAAGACTCCAAATGCTGGATGTGTATCAACCAGCACTCCTACATATTGTGCATATATGGTGTCATGCGACTCCTTTTTAACATATCGCAATCCATCATTGCACTAGCATGAAGCTCCTTCATGTTGTCAGTTCAGGATGAAGGACAAACTAGGAAATCTCTGCTGGAATTTCATTTCATTTTTTCGCTAGAATTGCACATGCGGCTTGCAGTCTGCAGCTGACTGGCAAAGACCCAGTGCTGGACACCGGGACAGTGTGTACTTGATGTTATTCTTGTTCTATTCTACTCCAAAATCTACCAGCTCAACATATCAACATCAATGTTTGGTTGCTGTTGGGTTCAGTCATTCACAAATTGGTTTTTGGTTGAGTCTGAGTTGATTTTCCTGATCACCACCTGTTCAAAACAATAACATCAATGTTTTACTGCTTTCGTGTTCAATTATTTTCAAAGTGGTTTTGATTTGAATTCTCCAATCACTTTAGTTGGATGATATGCATATTGACTTGCCCGTACAAGTGGCCTTTTCCTTTGAAGCTCGTTCATGTTGTCAGTTCAGAATGAAGGACAAACTAGGAAACCTTTGCTAGAATTTCATTCCATTTTTTCGCTAGAATTTCAGTCGTGCTTTTGACCTTTATAACCATTCATTTTTTTGTTGTCTGCACCGGTACCCATTAGCTTTGATTTCCAATAGATTCAAAGTGATGTGCGGCTTATACTCCGAATATCAAACAAATACGAATCTTGGGCCCGAACTGAGGGGAGGGGGGGGGGTGTTGTGGCTTAGACCCCGGTGTGGCTAACACCCCGGAATTGTAAGCTGTGCATTGTCGGAGTAGGCGAAGTTAGTAATACATGGTAGGACACGCTGCCAATGCAGCAGTTTTACACATTTATCTACCTCTGTTTGCTCCCGGACAAAATGCTTGACTGGGTTCATAGACCGTCTTCGTATAGTCACGCGGCGGTCCCGTATTGAAAGAGGCTTCAAACTAGGAAAGAGAAATTCAGCAAACACAAAAGACAATTGTTGTACGACAACTTGTTCGAATCTCTCTCCTTTGTTCTTTCCTTCACTATTTCACTATTTCCTCCTTGATATACTCTAAATTGTTCCACCTGTTCATACTGTATAAGTAAAGTACCGGTGAACACATGCCAATACAGCGTGTCCTCCTGATTGCGATTTTGTGATTGTTGTCTTCTCACTGTTTGTACAAAAGACAACCATCATATTTTCTTGGGGTGTTGAAGACTGAAGGCTCCCTGTAGCCATGTTTGCTAATAAAGTCACGTCACCCCAATCAGTTTCCCGGCTACAATTATTCGGAAAACAAAACAGTGTTAACGGGTGGTCCAATTGTTCTGAAACCTTCACAGAACAATTTGCCATGCCCTAACAAGCCCTTTTATGTACTTTGTTGTCGGAATTTCCCTTATTTTCATACTTTTTAAGACCAAAACCTGATTGTTAATCTTATTGAAATGGACTGCAGACCTTCTATCCTAAATTTGGGCCTGGAGTGAAAACATTGTTTAAGGAGTTAGAATTTCGGCCAGGTTTCTGGCCTTTTCCCATGGTTTATAATTTGCCCTGGAAGCCAGTAGCGCATTTTATCAAAAACTCACAATTTAAATTTGCCTCTTGGGCCTTATGGTTATGAATGCTGTCTGCTGACCATAAAGTTGTGGGTTCAAATCCCAACCTATCTTCAACTCAAACTTTTCTTTTCGTTATTTTGGTGAAGAAGTCAAAGAAGGTAGGTGGCTGCCTCAAACGACTTTTTGTTGGAACTCGCGCTTCCTGCTGACTGACTGACATTTGACTGGCTCACGTCATGTGAAGATACGCACAACACTGAAGCGGTGTGACTGAGTAGAAGTCACTGCAGCTACATGTTAAATATACAGGCACATCTATCGACTTCTTGTTGAGAATTGTTTTAGTACTTCACGATCGTCAATCTATTTGAATTTAGGAGTCGGTGCGGTCTTCTATCAGCTTCCACAGGCGTTTGCTTTTCTCAAACTGCCGTCGAAGTTACATGGATCGATGGCTTTGCCTAGTCATGGCCTGGAGAATGAGTCCGTGTCCATGTCGTTTTCGTCACAGTCATGGTGAGAGTAAATTGCATCGCAGGTACGCAGCTCCAAGAAACTATTTGGTCACAAAACAAAAGGGGACTCGTGCTGCGCTTCAACATTTACCACAGTTTCGACTTGTCCTCTGATCTGTGACTCCATATCGACACGAGGAAGTTGCTGGTTGTAAACCAGCCGCACATGTACCTGCATGCATGAGTTGTCATTTTCATGCTTTCGCGCGGAATATTTCTTCGAGTTCACAGCGAGTTTTTCCAGGCAGCTCAGACGGCCCCGGCACGGTAAGACGGCAAACTCCCCGGGCGATAGCAAGGATTGTTAAAAAAAAAATTTGAAACGCACTATAGTAAAAAGAATGCAGGTTACTGTATAGCAGGAAATTTTCGGACGGAATATATTTTCGTACACGGCCTCTTTTGTACTAAAATTAATTCCGTACTAAAATTTGTTCCTGTGAAGTTATGTACACTATACATGCGTGCCGCATGCGAACACGTGCATTTAGCATGCAGCACTGTACGAAAATAAAATCCATACGAAAGGTCGAAAATTGGCTTTGTCCGAAAATATTTCCGTCCGAAAATTTCCTGCTATACAGTATTTTATCACTCCCTTAGTATTGACTCACATAGATTTTTGCCATACCTAAGCAGTCAAATATTCCTGCATATTTCACTCCTTAGGGCTATATTGACTGCTTATATTTGACTGCTTAGGGGTTGCGCAGTTGAACGGTGCCCAGTGCAGCATTGTCACTGCATGAGTAGGTGGTGGTGCAACGGTTGTGCAATCATAAAACCGGGATTCATGAGGTTATCGTTTTGGAATTTGAAATGCGGACTGTTTGTCGTGATAAATCTAATATTGACTTCGTACTTGGTCAGTATAGGAAATAAAAACCTCGTAAAAGACCTCGGCTTCGCCTCGGTCTTTTACTCGGCTTTTATTTCCTATATTGACCTCGTACTCAGTCAATATTAGATACATAACTGACGAGAGAGCTTGGAAGCTCAGGGCCCTACGCTATGCTTTTTTGCCTTGATGACCTAGGCAAAAAAAGCATAGGGATGTTATAAATTTTTCATTTCGCCTATTTTTTTCAACACATAACCTGGGATTCGAACCCGCACTATCGCCCTGCATGCATCCCCCGATACACTTTGCATACATACTAATTCTTCCAAGTTGCTTCACGTTATGATCTTGCATTTGAAAGCCCTATTTGAATATTGTCGCCAGCTGTTTGTGGCCAGCCGTCTTTGATGGTACGGTACGGGACAGGTACGGTCGAGGGTAGTAATAAATAACCACTTTGATGATCTAGGCCAAAAAAAGCATAGGGATGTTATAAAACTTTCATTTTGCCAATTTGTTTCAAGGCATAACCTGGGATTCGAACCCGCACTATCGCCCTACATGCATTCGGATGATTTCCCGATACACTTCGCATTCATACTCATTCTTCCAAGTTGCTTCACGTTATGATCTTGCATTTGAAAGCCCTATTTGAATATTGTGGCCAGCTGTTTGTGGCCAGCTGTGTTTGATGGTACGGTACGGGACAGATACGGGATAGCGCCAGACGTGACACAAACAAACAAACACCAAATTAAAGCTGTGTGTACCCTGGCTAGCGCCAGACGTTACTGAAGTAACGTCTTCTGAATAGCTACGGGAATAAAACTCCACTTGTGCCAGTGCAAGTGGTCGTGAGACTTATTTCTCTTGCAGATAGGCGCTACATCTAAGGCTGGGTTTCCCAGGAATTTGCGGTCGTCGGGAGTTCCCTTGTAACCGGAGATGACAATTTAATAATTGCATATCACCAGTTGTTGGCATCATATCCTAAACAACAACGGCTTGGTCCGTTAGTGTGTACAGTACGCTTGGATGGGTTTGGTCACATCAGCCACTCTAAAAGCTAAACTGATTTGGAGTTGCTGTGCTGGAACAGGTATCACCTGCAGGGGCTAACAACTGCCTTCCATGCAGCATTGCTATTGCTCTGGGAGCTGGGAGTTACAACAGAGAATGCCCTACTTTCCGTTTGTGTACCTCTTGTGTGCTGCGCTCTGCCCATCACAGGCATTTGAGCACTATAGCAGCTTTAGGTGCAGCCACTGCCTCGGTGTAGTGCTGCCATGGATAAAGTTACCACCGTGAACTCTTCCATGTATCTAAATCAAAAGGTTTATCACTGGCCTTTCACGGCTGACCGGGAACTTGTTTGCGTCACCCAGCCTCTTTCTCAGTTTACTGTAGAACGGCTAGTTCTACCTGCCCCGGGTAATATTTTTTAGCGTTTTCTATATCAGGATCAATTTGAAACGGAATATTATTTTTTTTTCTGAGTTTCAGAGTAAAACAACAGTGACTTGTACTGTACACGCAAAATTTCGATAGGTGCCGCAAAACTTTAGTGAAAACACTCCTTTTGCTAAACTCGCTAAAATATCACCGGCGCTAAATTTGGCCGTTTTCACAGTAGATGAATGCCATCTTTACACATGCTTTGTTACAGCAAAGACTCTCTTTACACGTAGCGAGTAAAATGCAAAATGAAGGAAATGGCGTTACAAGTACATCGTGATTGACAATTTAGAAAACTGTGCACAACAAGGGGTGCACCCAAGGTGTTGAAAGTTGTGCTCCAACACCACAGGAAAGAGTGAATGAAGTACACAGCAATTGTGAAGAGTACGTACACGAATTCGAAATTCTTTGTCTTGAGGTAGACCACCTATGACAATGCGCCCAGCACTAGCCTGGAAGTGGCAGATTCGATTATGATAAATACACACATATACAAACACAGATGCATATGCACACAAAAACACGCACACACACACTTATGCATGAAAACATGCGCGCGCGGGAGCACACATGCACACGCGCGCACACACACACTCACCCACACCCACACCCACACCCACACCCACACACACACCCACGCACACACATACGCGCACACCCACACACACACACACACACACACACACCACACACACACACACGCACACACACATACGCACACACACACACACACACACACACACACACACACACACACACACACACACACACACACAC